GGACGGGGCTGGAGGGGCCGGAGGGGGCAGGACGGGGCTGGACAGCACCCCCGAAGCTAAAGACCAGCCACTGCTGTCCCCCTTCCTCTGGGAATCCCCCTGGTCAGGAACAGGCACATAGAGAGCAGTCATGACAGAGTGGACAGGTGCACACACACACGGGGACACAGACACATGCAGCAGACTCCCGCACACGCAGACACACAGACACCACACACACGTGCACGTACACACACCCCCACGCAGGTGCACGCCTACACACGCCCCCGGGGCCCACAGCCCAGCCTGTCTGGGCACAGCCGCGTCTCACATGTGGTTACTTCCCCAGGTTTCTGAGCAGAACAGAGGGGAGGACTCCCCGGCTGGAGAGTGTCCCTGACGGTGACGGGGGGGGGGGTGGGGAGGGGGCAGCACATTCGGCAGCTTGTGGCCAGGGCCCAGCAGGCCACCTGCCCGCAGGTGGAGGCCAGCCCCCCCCCCCCCCCCCGGTCCCGCCGGCGCCTAAAACAAAAGCGCCCGGAAGCATGGCGGGGTCGAGGGGAAGACCCAGCCGGCCCTGCTGACCAGCTCACCCCCTCCAGACCGTCCCCCCTGCCCCGGGCTCCCGGAGGCTCTGCACCCCCACGTCCCGGCACAGCACAGACCGGCACCGGGTCCTGGCCGACCCTGCATTGGTCAGGGTCACCAGACAAGCACGTCTCCACGGCAGGTGACAGTGGTGCTCACGTCCTCACAGGACACAAGGGGTGCGCCTTCTCCACTCAGGGGAGGCGGGTCCCAAAGGACGGGGTTTTGCAAACAAGTGAAATCCCTTCTCTAAGCCCCCACGCACTTCGGAGCACGGGAAGGGAGTCTGCAAACACATGTCAGGCACCCTCGGGAAGGACAGGGTCGCAGCACTCAGCCACCAAGGCGACAGGCCGGTGCAGCGGGACCTCAGGGCACAGCACAGGTGGGAGGCACCAGGAGAGCTTCCTGGAGGAGGGGTCTTTCCCCCAAATCTCACCGGGGCCTGAGCCAGACGCAGGGGTGTGGCTGGATGTAAGGATGATGTCGCCCTAGAAGCAGTTCACATTCGGGGCTCAGGTCACGATCTCACGGATTGTGGGTTCGAGCCCCGTGTCGGGCTCTGTGCTGACAGCTCGGAGCCTGGAGCCCGCTTCGGATTCTGTGTCTCCCTCTCTCTCTGCCCCTCCCCTGCTCACGCTCTCTCTCTCTCTCTCCCTCAAAAATAAAATAAACACAAAAAATTTAAAAATAACTAACTAACTAACTAACTAACTAACTAAAGAGAAGCTCATTCCTTCTCAGATCTGAAGTCTGCAATGGCTCAGTGAAGACCCGACCTTAAACGTGACGGGAGAGCTGTCGTCACTCACAGCGACTGTGTTTTCAAAACCAACAACTACTGAGCTTGTGCAAAACGTGACTCGGGGGCCAAGGCCGTGCGAAGCCCAGGGGTCCCCTGAGCCCCAGCCCTGGGGGGCAGCCGAGCCCTCCCCTGCTCTCCAGGTGGCCCCGGGCAAGACTCCGCTTCCCCGTCTGTGAAGCGAAGGGTTAACGCCGCTGGTGCTCCTCTGAGCTTTAACCGCATCCCGGACCGTGGCCTCCACACGAATGGTGACCGGGGACCTCTGCGCATCCAGGCCCCCCCCCAGGCGGCGGTGACATCCTGTCCACACACAGGAAACCAGCTGGCCTGGCTCACAAAGCTGGGGTGCAGAGGTGACCTCCCCGCACAGCCCCTCTGACCTCCTGGACGTCCTCCACCCCTCCAGGGGCCCCAATGCCGTCCGGATCGGCCCCGACCGTCCCAGGCGAGGCTTCCCCGAAGCTCCAAATTCTTCCCACAGGCGGCCCAGTGCTCCCTCCCGGCCGCCGGCTTCCTGAGCACTCACCTACACGAGCAGGTGCGGCCGGCCACCCTCCCGTGCTGTCATCACACCCTGACCAGGACAAAACCCAGCCTGTGTTTGGAGAGCCCAGAACACATCCCCTCCCCTGAACGCACGGCACACCCAGAAATGTGGCCTTGCTGAGGGAAAACCCCAGAGAGCCCACTGTTAGCACAAAGGGGGTCACAAGCCAGTGAACACATTCCAGAATGTTCTGCAGGGCCCGGGCTCGGGGTTGGACCAACACGGGTCTGGGGGACAAGGATGGCCCAGGCCTTCCAGAGACCCGGCCACCTGGGCTGCCAGGCCCTCCCTGTCCTTGGACCCCAGCTCGGGCCACCCTCAGCAAGGGGTCCCCACGCCCATGCCAGCCCCCAGCCTGCACCCCAGTGGGACAAGTCCCCGCCACCCTCCTCAGCCCTCCTCAAATCCCCTCCTCCTGCTCCCACAGGACATTAAGGATGGGAACTCGCTTTCCCAGGAAGGACACCTTCGTGAGCCACCTTCCTGTGACCTCGTCACTTAGGCACTGAGAGGACAGGTGAGTTTACTGTTGTGGCTTTAAAACAGAAGTAAGGGACCATTCTAGCTCCCTTGGAGTTATTTGTAAAATACTCACACAGAGCACGGGGTCCTGGGCAGGGGTCTGGACCCCAAGGGACCCCTGTCTCGGCCGCGTCGCTCCCAGGCTCTTGGTCCGCTCGGGGAGACAGGTGCCGGGAGAAACGGTAGCCGAGGAGCTTTTGTGGGAGAAAAGGAACAGCCTGGAGCTGAGCCCCACGGCCGCGCTCCTGGTGACTCGGCCGACGGCCAACGGAGGGAGAGACCAGCCCCAGGGGCCCCGCGTGCCTGTCGCCACCAGCCAGAGCCCGGCCCGCCTGGGCCGCAGCCGATGGCCCAGAATCCCGGAGAACCAGCAGCTCTGGGGTCTGAGTGTCGGGGGTCAGAGCACAGGCTCGGGGCTCATGGTCCTGCTCTGATCCACCTGCCCGGGGGCCCTGGGCATGCCCCTTCCCTGAGCCTCGTCTACCTCTAAAACAGGAACAAAAGCATTTCCCTCTGACGAGCGTCAGGAGGATTCGCGGGGTGCGGAGTGCTTGCTGGAAACAGATCCGCAAGGAAGGGCACAGCGAGGGCAGCGCGCCCCTTTGCAACAGGGACCCACGCCGACCCTGGAAGCGCCACTGCAGGGACAAGCCTGCTGACCGGGTTCCCAGAGCCCTGACGAGGCAGCAGCATGTGCTCCTTTGTGCATCAGGTCCAGCCTCTGTCACCGAAGCCCCGAGCACAGGAATCTGCCAGGAATTTGAGAAGCAGAAGGGCTTCCATGGTGACCCTGGAACAGAGCCTGGAACAGAGCCTGGAACAGAGCCTGGGAAGCAGGATTCCAAAACCAGGCAAGGCCTCTAGGTGCAAACGGGGCATGAGGAGTCCCAAAAGGGGGAGGCCTTGGGGCAATCGGTCTCAGTCTGGGCTACGACTGGAACCACAAGACGTGGAGCTGACCTCGAGGACCCTGTGGGCCTCAGATGTGCTCAGTTTCCTCCTGCACTTAGTGGACTGGAAGTTGCCAGAGGCCCTCCCACCAGGCAGGTGGCAACACCTGTTTCGGTTGGTCTTCAAAGTCAGGGTCAGACAGTGAGACCTTATGTCCACACCAGCTCCTGGTAGCCAGATCAGCATCAGGGCCTCATTCGTACTCAAGTGTAAATGACTGACATCGGCCGTCAATGCAGAGGAACACCTCTCTGACCTCACCTATGTAGATAACAGGACAACGGAGAAACCTCAGAACCTCTGTGAGGTTCGTGGCCCAGCGTAAACAAGGCCCACACCACGTGGACTCGAGAAGACAGAGGCACTGCCTGTCTGGAGGGGTCTGCCTCCTCCTGAACAGAGACAGGAGACCTTTGGTGTCAGCACACACAGCAGGAAGAGGTGTGGGACCCTGCTGGCACTTGCAGAGGCTCAGTAACTGTTGGGGACACAGGACCTCAAGTCCAAGGCCAGGGAAGCCTTCAGGAGAGCCTTCCGGAGAGCCAGGACCCCAGGGCACCAGGAGCTGTCCCCAGACTCCCGGGTCAGCCCTCGAACCTTCCACAGGCATCGTCTGAGTCCCAGGGAGACGGTGCTGAGCCAGCAGCCACTCCAGACAGAAATCTGACCTGCGAGGGCTCTGGATACACAAAGTACAGAGCCGTGTCCTGCCTGGTGGCATCGGCTCCTCCAGGTCTGGGGGACCAGACCCCTGCGGCCTCTCCCGTCCCTAGCTGCCCCGAGAACTCCATGGCCCCGTGGGGGTATCAGGGCAGGGGGCCTGAACCTGAGTTAAGTCACTGCTTTGCAATGGTAAGAAACGCAAAACGTGACACCATAGAAGGAGGTCCTTCCACAGTGAGAAACAGGTACATCCTCTCTGGCCTGCAGACACCCAGGGGCCCGTCTCCTTTTCCAGCCTCACGGAGAGACATCGGGGGGCCTCTGGTCCCCGCGGGCATCACCCCTACGCTGCCCAGGCCCTGAGAGGCTTCAGAAGCACAGATGAGACAAGGACGCGTGTTCAGTCACCATGTCCCCGCTGGTCAGCTCGCCTCACTGGGCCGCAGCCCCACAGGGCAGGACAGGCTGGGCCGAGCATCCCCCCTCACGGGGGGTCTGGCCCACCCACGGAACTTTCTAGCTCCCCACACGTCTGCCCGATGGTGCCACATCTTGCTCGTTTATTTTCTCTGAAGCGCGCCCGTCCCCATCGCTGGCCCCAAGAATGGAGACTGAGCAAACAGGGTTTCAGGTTTCCAGCGGGTGGCGAGCCCAGCTGAATGCATTTCTGTTACCAACACAACACTGATTTTTTTTATAGTTTATTTCATTTTTGAGACAGAGAGAGGCAGAGAGAGAGAGAGAGAGAGAGAGAGAGAGAGAATCCCAAGAAGGCTCCACACTGACAGCAAAGAGGTCAATTCCATGAACCTTGAGATTGTGACCTGAGCCGAAATCAGGAGACAGACGCTTAACGGACTGAGCCACCAGGAGCCCCAACATAACACTAACTTTGATGACGACGAGTCTAGGAGGTCCACGGTCTGAGACGTGGCCACGGCCCGTGTCTCACAAACCCAGATGGGCAGAGACAGACGTTAGAAGCCACTGGGTGCCCACTTGCAACGTCCAAGATGCTTGCTGTGCTAGGTTTTGCTCTTAGCTTGGGGAGCTCCCGTCTCATTGGCGGGGTTCAGACAGCTTCGGGGGCTCATTCACAAGCCCGCTCCCGGGTCTGGGTCGTGAGAACGTCGTGTGGTGTCTACGTGGTTTGGCTGGACGGGACACAAGGGTTCCCTGCACCCTTGGCCCCACTCCATTTCTCACGGCGCTGACGGGTTCAACCAAATGCCTCCCCCCACCCCAGTTCTCCAGCCTTGCTGGGGGCGTGGGGGGCAGAAGCCCCCTCCAGATGACCAACAAGGGAGAGCTCAAGGTTGTGACGTGCCCTGGGGACGACGTGTGTCCCCCACACAGAGCATTCCTCTAGCTGGCAGAGCCCCCCTCCCCGCCCCGAAAGGAGCGGTGGAGAAAGGACACACAGTGAGTGCACAGAAGCGCGGGAGGGCTTCTCCCGCGTGGCTCCCCACCCCCCCCAGCCCCGCAGCCGCCGGGGAGCAGAAATTAGCGTCAGGTAATTAACGCCAGCCCTATACAGCCCATTAACGGTATTTAGGTACGTCTGGGGATGCGCTCCCAGGTAATGGACACTACGGCAGAAAAATAATGTAAAAATGGAGCCAAAGTGCTTTTTTGAAAAGAGGCCACTCGTGTGAGTCCAGCGGCATGTAAGACGGCTTCCAAGGCATTAGCATTTCCGCCGTGAGAAAACCGTAACGGGACACTCCTGCACAGAGCCGCTCGACGCCCCCACGGATCGCCACAGCTCCAGGTGACGGGCCGTGTTCACACCAACCTTCCCCGGCATCTCATTACGGCAATCAGATCGGAGGCCGCGAACACGGCGGAGGCACTCCTCCCCGCTCCATCCCCTGCTCTGTTGACAGGACGCAGCACTGAGCCAGCCTGTGCCCGGTGGCTGGACCATGCAGAAGACCCTTCATCGCCCCACGGGTTTGCACAGCAAGTGAGGGACCTGGGACACGTCCACTGGCGAGGCCCCCAGCACGGCTGTTCTGAGCACACACGAGCCTTCAGGAAAGAGGGAACGAGACGTCAGCCCTCAAGGCCGTCGGCAGGGACCCCGGGAGACACCCTCCCCCCCCCCGCCCCTCCCCTGGAGGTTCCAGACATGACGAAGATGGGGGGGGTGGGACTGGGTGGGGGTCCCTGCAAGTTCAGAGCCCCAACTTCCCACCCCTTCCCTGCAGCTGTGCACCTGCAGCCCTATGCGGGGACCCACGGTGTGCAGAGGGCAGGTGGATGTGCCGCCTTCCTGCCCAGCAGAGGCCCCCGAGGTGCTGGGGACGGCACTCCCAGAGTGGGAGCAGGGAGAAGACAGGCCAGCTCAGCCTCCCGCTCACTCCTGGCGCCTCCAGGGCAGAGAGAGGAGGCCCACGCAGGCTCCCCTGCTCCGTCTGGGTCCCCACTGCTCCATCCAGGGCCACGCCATCACCCCATAGCAGGGACACCACTTCTGTGTGCAGGCCCAGTGACCAGTCAGGATCCACGGGCCGCCTGCCGCGTGTCCCAGGGCCTGTGAGGCCTCCCGGGTCAGCAGCGGGGGTCCATCTGCACCTCCGATGTGAGACGGACATCGGCCGTGTTCCAGAAGAGCCCCCGTGGCTGCACAACCAGACCCTGAGCCCTGAGCGGCCCGCCCTGCAAGTTTCCTGCCGGCAGATGCCCCCTGCGCCCCTACGATGGTCCGCTCAGCGGCAGAGCGAGGTCAGCAGGGCTCAGGCCTCTCGGGAGCAACACATCCACCTGCACGCATGTCTGCTCCCCCCTCTCCCCAGGCACGCGTCCCCTGGAGAGGTGAGCTTGTTCCCGGGGGGCAGGGAGGGAGGTCACCGGGAGGAAGGCGCAGCTGCCCTGGCCAGGGGGTGGGGGGTGCCAGGATGGGGTGGCTGAGAGGGGCTGGAGGAGGAGGCAGGGCCAAGCGCCCCGGCGAGGCTGGCTGGCTGGTCTGAACCAGGGGACCCCCAGGCGGAGGCCACGGGGTCAGAGTGACCGTGCCAGAGGGATGCGATGCTGAGCCGGGACCCTCTGAGCAGCTCCCCACCCCCCCCCCGGCTCCCCGGCCGAGACCCAAGCCACCGGCCCCATCTCTCCTCCTCACGCACCCCTTCCAGGGCAAACAGCAAACGCAGCGGGCCCCAGTGAGCCCCAGGGCAGTACCACAGGGCCCAGAACCACCCCCCGGCACCGACCAGCCCTGCCTGCGCGGCTGGGAACCCCGAGGTGAGGCGGCCGCTGGGGCTCTGTGATGCGGAGGGATGTCAGCCAGGGCAGGGACCAAAGGAAGGTGGAACCCAGCTCCCGAGCGTTACTACAAGCCGGTCCCGGATGACTCACTTCTCAATTAGCCACCTCGTTATGGGAAGAGCCTGTCACACCTGCTAAGTGTCAGGGAATGTTTTGACAGGATCTCCTCTCCAGCCCAGCCAGGGTGGACGTGGGTACCGCACCACAGTCTCCCCGCAGCGTGGAGGGTCCCTGCACGCGCTGTGTGCTCGGGGACACCGGCCCATCAACGTGCGGGGGCTCGCGCTGCACCAGGTGACCCGGGCGACCCACCCCCGGCTGAAAGCACACTCGAGGTGTTTGTCCGGCGACGTTCCTACTTTATTATGTGAACGACAGGCCAAATCCCACCGGTCCTTCGGCCCAAAGAGCTGCAGCAGAAAACAAACAACAGTCGCTGTGATGCGGCGGGGGAGGGGGCCGTGGCCTCCGCGTCTGCCTCGGCGGCGGGCACGAGCCCCACCAGCCCGCGGGACTCAGCTCTGTTCTCGGCCTGGCACAGGGGTCAGCACCCTCAGCTCGGGAGGGAAACTGAGGCCCAGCAGGGGAGCTGCAGGATGTGTCTGTGCTGTGCACGTGCACGCTCACGGACACGGCACAGAGGGACGGGGCAGGGGAAGCAGCCGGAAAAGGAAGCCGATGGGCCACGCCTGCGGATCCCGTCTCCGTGGCTGAGAAAATCTTTAGGAACAGCCAACCTCGACCTCTCCTGTCTTACCGAGCAGGGCGTCTCCTGGCACGGCTGACCCTGTGCGAGGCCAACAGCAGGTCCGGCTGGAGACACACAGAGTCTGTCCACTCTGAGCCTGGGGGCTGCAGGGAGCACAGGCACCCTGGTGGCCGGGAGGTCTGAATGGCCCCCCAGTGGGGGCCCGCTGACCCCGGACGCCCTCTCCCTGCACGGGGCTCCTTGGCCCGTGACAGGGCAACAGAAGGGGCACGTTGCAGCCCCTCCAGGGTAGCAGGCTCCGGCTTCCGCCAAAAGGACTGAAATCAAGGCATTTCTCAGCAGCCAAAGGTCCTGCCAGTGGCAGCAGAACTTTCTGGAAGGAAACGCACTGAAGAAACATGTCCTGATGAGCTCTAGGCGGAAATCTCAGAGTCACCTGGAGGGACCTGACCACCCCCTGGAAAGGAGAGAGTGATTAAGCAAGCGGCTGGATGACAGGAAGGGCAGGTGGGCTCCCTATCAGCACAGGGCCAGGCCTGTTTACTGCCTCCAAATGGCGGCTTCACCATCAGCAACACGGTTACACGTGCGACGCGGAGAAATTGCAACGCAGACGACAGACTGCAAGCGACGGGTGAACCCTGCGCGGCTTCCCAGCTCTGGAAAACAGACGTGCGTGGAAACGTGTGGAGACACCTCCTGTCCCAGCCGACAGCCTTTCCAGCAGGCTGGGAACGGCTGGGAAGGGCTGGGGAGTGCGGTCTGGGCAGGCGGAGAGGTCGAGGTCGGGCTGGGTGCTCCACAGCCTGGAAACCCCCCAACGGCAGGCCATTCGGCCACAGATACAGCCCCGCGGGTGTCACCCCGCCCGTGCTGAGCCCCAGGCCCAGAGTCTCACTCAAGAAACCAGGAAACACCGGTGTGGGTGGGTTGACTAGGGACCCACAAACTAGAGCAGGGGTCCCGGCCTGGGGACAGGGGCTGGCGATGATGCTCAACAGCCCGCGGTGCCCAGGACGGACAGCCCCACCTCAGGGACACCCACACGTGCACAGTGCTGGGGGCAGAAACCCCGAAGCAGGGGGATGTGGGAAGGGACCAGTGCTCAGAGAGCTTAACCGCGGAGGCGTCAAAGCGGGAGCCACAGAAAGG